CTCAACATCACCTGTATGTGCTCCCCATGGCTTTTCTTCTCATTATGTGTTCAAGAAACTTGAAGTGTCTCTTTCTGATTGTAAGTATTAGCGTTCTTTATTGTCCTCATATTCTTTAAAACGTCCTCGTTGCTCAACTGTTCAGAAAACATTACTGTATATAAGAAATATAGACTGATCCTGAAGAAGAAAGTTCATCAGAAGAAAAAGAAGGAAAGTTCATCAGATGTATTATCATGAAAATATTTTTTTAAAAAAAGCACAGGGAAGCTAGAATGTGGGAAAGTGACTGAAGCTGTTATGCCACTTTCGAAATAGTGCTCTACAGTAGGTGTACTCGAAAGTTGCATGCGACATAATAATACAGCTTATTTATAAAATATGTTATGGACCTAGCATCAGGATGATTTATTTATTTATTCATTAGTAATCTGCTGATGCTACCAGAAGTCTTCACCAACACGAAAACTTTGATTTTCGAATCGCCAATATTCCTGGAGGAAAGGACTGACCACCAATTGCAGTAAGACAGACAGTATAGTCATCAGCAAAGGAAAAAGCCCAAGATAAGAGTTACGAAATGAAGATATAAACATAATTCGAATATCTAGGAAGCGTTTTAAGAGACGATGGAAAATGCGAAATCCGAGATTTGAACGATTTTTTCCAGCAACTGATCGTTTATTCCAATTCGATTTGAGTGGAGTGTCATGGTGAGCGTAACCGATTATCGTGACTGGAAAAAATTCGGTGTTTGATCGGTGACGATGAAATATTAGCTTGGCACTAAAAATCACAAACCAGTTTTTGCACCATTGAGCTGCCAGAGCTAGATCTGTTGAGAGATCAGCTGTCTTCATTATCTCGATATTTTTTTCTCTATTTTTATCTTTCTGTCACTCATGTTGTTTACTTTGAGGAAGTAACCAATAAAAACATAAGCTGTCAGTTCGTCGACGCTGAATAAAATTAAAACAAACATGATTTTCGTTTTCACTAATTTGAACTGAGATCTTTCTAACAATGCCACAGTGATAAAGTTACTAGCGAGAATCAAGCGCCATACATTCGGCTTGCTTTGTACGATCTCTGTTGTGCTATAAGCAATTGTTCGTATGATGTTCGCGATAACTGCATAATCAAATAAAAGTTACTTGGATGACTAAACGAAAGACAATGCTGTCTATGCCGTACAGCAAAAAGTGATCGGAATAGGTCGAAGAAAGACTTATCTAGCGATCAAATCAAAAACAAAGGAAAGGAAAAAAAATATTCAGTATACTGAAAATACAAGATTTATCAAATAAAAATTCACCAAGAAAAGATAACATTTTAAGACATTTCCAAGAAGGACATTATTTGATTTACGCTGCATGTATTTTGGTCTGATGTATATCTGAGTGATAAAATAACAGTTTTCTTAAGGATATGAGTAGCATTTATTAGGCTGTTCGGAAAATAATGTCCGATTTTAGAATAAACGTTTTAATTGAGTTCTAATATATTATTATAATAGTCGCACAAAACTATATTACAGCATTACTAATTGTGGGTACCTCGGCGTGGTGTAATGTTTAGCAAGCTTGTCTCGCTAGATCAGTTTCAACTGAAAAGTGAGTTCGATCCTCAATAGGTGTCCCATACTTTCGGCCTTGTGCCACATCTAAGCTACGCTTAGAAAATAGCTACAACATTATTAATGGATTGTATTTGTTAATGTTATATCAATCTCTTTCAAAATTCAACTTAAAACATTATATACCCTTAATTTTGGATTTACATTGGTCGGACTAATGACCTGATCTATATTCACAACGTTTCGGCCGTTGTAAGCTCAGGCCTTCTTCAGTATCTCGTCGACCTATTCCGATTACTTTTTTAACATGAAAAAAGAAGACATGCGTTTATTTTTTTGGCATGACTTCGAGCTTGGTCATAATACATCTTATAACTGTTGCTAACATTGACAGAGCGTGGGGTGAAGAATGCACTTGTGATTAGACATTACGGTGCTGGATTCTGAAGTTCCGTAGCGGGGATACGATTCTCGAAAATGGTATATTTGATTTTCGAGAATCGTATCGATCTGCAATTGAAAAGCAACATCTGAAAGCACTAATAAAAAAAACACGTCAAAGTGTCAGAAAGTGTCAGAGAAATGTCTCACATACTGAGTGTTATTATCTCAACAATATCGAGCCATCTCAAGAAAATTGGCTGAAGAAACTTGGCAAATAGCCTATACACGAACTCATCGAAAATCAAAGTGTACGATGTTTTGAAATATGTTTCATGTTGCATCTGCGAAATTCAAATGTCTCATTTCTTGATTAAATAGTGACATGTGCTGAGAGATAGATCCTTTATGACAATTGTAAACAATCAGTTCATTGCTTGAGCATGACTAAGCATCTACACACTTTCCAAAATTGAAATTACCCCCAAAGAAGATTATGGTGACTGTCTGGTGGTCCACAATTGGTGTTATCTACCGTAGATTTATTGAAGTTAACCAGAGCATCACTGCCGAATTTTGCTGACAGAAACGGGTTTGAAATGCACATTCAGCCAGGCAAAAATGGTTAATCGACAAGATTCAGTTCTGCTTCATGATAATGCTAAGTTACATGGTGACCGACTTGGGGCTTTACCACATCCACAATATATCCCTAGTCCACTGACTATTAATTTTTCAAGCATCTCGACAATTTTTTTTAAGCCAAAAGGTACCCCGTTGCAAAGAAGATGCAAAACCTACAGTCAAAGATTTCTTGGTGTCTAAAAATTTAAAGTTTGATCATAATGGCATAAATAAACGTGAAACTCAATGGCGGAAATGTTTTTTTTTTTACAATGTTTCAGGAATAAAAGTTTATTCTCAAATCGGAAATTATTTTCCAAAGATCCTATAAATAAACATGCTGTGGATAAATTTGAAACCGGTCCCACATGACTATATATTGGAGTAAACCATTTCGTTTCTGAGTAACTAAATATGAGAATTGGCATTTCAGAGAAATAAAATCTGATCGACTTCTCTCGTGGCTGTGGCAATGTGCATTCCTCACTGACGACAATCGGCTCCAACCTGGCGTTTTTGTAAATGTTTAATCGTATAAATAACGTAATGTGTTGAATTGTTTCCCATCGGAAACAAGTATACAAATATTCTATGCGTATTTGAATTATTCTATATGCAAATTACATATTTTATTTTATGCAGAACCTAAAATGTAGTGAAACTCTCCCAAAAGTGTAAGTACATAGCAAACACTACTTACATAACGTAGCGACATTTAGTTCCTGTTAATGATCGAAAGTGCTCCAATAAATTCAGAATAAAAATACAGACACACACAATATATATATACAGATACACAATATATATATATATATATATATATATATATATATATATATATATATATATATATATATACAGTTTTCCCTGACGATCCGTTTAGGCGAAACCTAGGTAGGTTTGTCTGGCTCACTAGGTTTATCTAGGTCTGCTCTACGGTTGTATTGAGCTCTTTTTTTAGTTAGTTGTTTACTCGTATCGGGTTTTTTTCTTTGGGCTTCAGACCTGCATCTGGGCGATTTTTTTCGACAGACTTTCATGTTTGTAGCTCTTTCTTTTTTTCCCTCGAGATTGATTTGATTATTGAAAAATCAAAAATTCGAGGGTTTTTCGAAACGAGTATAGTTATCCATATTTGTATATATATATATATATATATATATATATATATATATATATATATATCGATTCTCCCGTCGGGTTCGACGTATGAAGGTCAAGCAGATCAGTTTGCAGGAAACTGACAGTCCGTCACCGGCACATGAGATTTGATTATAGTGGTGAAGGTTTCGTGCAAGACCAGCCACACTTTTTGAAGGGCCGAATTCAGAGACCTGGTGCACTACGTGCCACAACGTCCCCAAACAACCCCCCTCAGGTTTTGAATTCAGAGTTGTCCTTCTCCTAGACCAGTTCCATCCAAGGCTATAGAACCCAGCCTGTCCTGCTATTTAACCCATAGCTGGAGGAAGAAGAATAGGATTCGCACCTTTCCCGTAAGTGAATGTAATGGATTCAACCTCGGCTCTGCGATTCTACAATCCAAGCCGATATCCATTACCCCACCGTGCCTCCTATATATATATATATGTACGTGTTAGGAAAATCTATGACAAAGTGGAATAATTTTAGCAGAAAATTTACAAATTTAGTTCGAGGTGGGATGTGACAAGCTCCTCTCTGCTGCATCGTTTCTTCCACGGAAAGTACTCGGGTGAACTACATTCCCATTTTCAGCCAATTCAAACCTTCACACCAATAATACGTTAAGCCACATATAGTAGCAAAGTACCCACATTCCATCCGTATTACATCGGTGAGAAGTAAGATCCACGCGAAAAAGCTTCTACCCACGGACCACTACTCTGTGTAACCGACTTCCAAAAGGATGTTTCCCCGATCACTACAGTCTTAACCTGTTCAAAGCTAGGGTTAACCAATCCTATCCGCACGAATTGCCCCCTAACGTAACCCTCTTCCTCGAGCAGCCTTGTAAAGGGTGAACCTTACTGTAAAAAGGTCCTAAACGATAAGATGGGTTATAGGAAAGTTGGGTTTTTTTTCCACTTCGTCCTAAATTTTCCTAAAAAATTGTTGTTGGAAGCACCTCGAGTGGCTAGTATTTTAGCAATTCCTCACACTCATTTTTGTTCTCAATTAGTGTAAAAGTTGAAGAATTTTTAGTCACTTCATTTTTGTCTGAAAAGCTGAAATTCTAACGTTCCTTCCACATAGTCAGAATAGAACAGACAGAAATGAGAATGTGTGAGGGAAGAAAAATGGTTTGTCATCAGAAATGTTTTTTTTTTTAATGTGACAATGGATTTCGTATTAGAAACTTGCTTACAAATTACGTTCTCGTTTTCCAATTGGCATGCAGCTAGCATAAGATTTCACGACAGGAGCACAAGATTCCAAAATGACAAAAAGGATTTACACTTTCTTTTATTTTTTTTCTGTGTGTTTCCATCCACATAGACTCTATCTATCTCTCTATTCATATTCTGTCGTGCTCGGATCTCACTCGCCATCTTTTTCTATTTTCTCAACTTCTCTTATGCTTTCTCTCTGCGTTCATCTCCTTTTCCTCCTTTTTTTATTCATATTCACTCTCTCCCTACTGTCTCTCACCCTATCTCCCTATTCCTCTATTTCTCTTCTCCATTTTATGCTCCGTTCTTTCCCTTCCTTAGTTCCTCTTCCTTTCTATTCATATCCACTCTCCTCTTACTGTCTTTCAGCATATCTCCCTATTTCTCTACTTCTCTCTCCTTTCTCTCCCTCTCTTAATTCTTCTTTTTTATTCATATCCTGTCTCCCGCTACTGTCTCTCATCAACTCGCCCTATTCCGCTGCTTCTCTCCTCCCCTGCGTCTGAATTTATCTCCCTCTCTTAATCACTCTTCTTTTCTATTCATACCCACTCTCACCTACTGTCTCTCACCATCTCTCCCTATTCGTCTATTTCTCTCCTCTTTTTTCACCTCTTTTCTCTCCCTGTCTTATTTCCCCTTCCTTTCTAGCCAATCTCTCTCTTCCCCCCTTTCTCTCTTTCTCTCCATCCTAGTTCTGCCCCTCTCCCTTTATCTTCCATTCTCCATCCGTCTCCGCTCTTTTCTTCTCTCTGCTCCTCTCACTATCTCTCCATTCTTCTCTATTCCTCTCTCTCCCTCTGTTCCTCTACCTCTCAGTGCCACTTCTTCGTGTTTCTCTCAGTTGTCTACTTTTTGGCTCGTCTCTTCCTTTCTATTTATATCCTCTCTCTCTCTCTCTCTCTCTTCATCCTATTTTGTCCCTCACCCTCTTTCTCCGTCTCTCTATCTGTCTTCATTCTTTTCTTCTCTCTATTCCTCTCGCTATGTCTCCACCCCTCTCTATACGTCTTTCAGTTCCATTTCTCTGCGTTTCTTTCTGTTTTCTGCATATTTCTTGGTTCTTCTACTTTCCCTCTGCGCTCTTTCTGTTCCTCTCTCTATTCGTCCTGGTTCTTTTACCTATCTCTCTGTTTCTCTCCCTGTCTATCCATTTCTATACTCCTCTTTCTCTCTCTCTCTCTCTACTATCACTACTCCCCCTCTCTCTCTCTTCCCTCCTACTCCGCACATCTGCGGTTCCTCTACCTTTCCTCTTTCTCTGTATTTCTCTCTGCCTCACACACATATACCCACACCCACACATATAACACCCGAACTTTATTTCACTCAAGAAATAATAAAGGGAATGTTAGAGGGATCACAGAGCGTATAGTGACTGGGTTTGCCACGATAAGTCATTTTCGCATTAAAATTTGCTTTTAGCGAAATATCTTTGGTCGTCGTCAGTCAAGTACGTATATCATTCCTTACCAACAATGTGTAAACCTAATGACCTCATCTAGGGTGATTTCACATATGTGAACAAATGCATTTCTCTTTCTTTAACGGAAATCTCAGGGAAATGCCTCTTTCTCAGCAGCGCCAATTTCATCTTCTGCTTCTTCGTCTTCTGTGTCGTGACCATTCAGGATGTAGGCGTCCATGGCTTTCTACAATTCTTTTGTGGCCTTGTTATAGCCAGAAATAAAGACACAAAAGAGGAAATGAGTTAAACAAATATATTAACAGAAACAGTAATACAAACATATACAAACAAGAGTGTTACAGCAAGAATGTTCGGTCCGACTGTCAGAGCTGACTGCTGGAAACTTCCTCCTTCAAAAGGCAGTACCTGCTCCTATTTTTAGTTGGGAGAGTCCATGCGTGCGTGGGTAAATTACCATAACAAATCCCGTGTCCTTTTTAGCTCCTAATAAATTCTGACTTTTTGGTATCTTTCCTAAACCTTTTTGTTTCGATTTTCTCTCAAACTTTGCCGTTATTCAGGTATTCGGTCTATCGTATACTCCGTATCCTTCTGTAGTACTAAATTTCTCTAGCTTCATCTCTCTTCTTCATCTGGGGGGAGATTGTCCAGCATTCACTGCCATATAGAATGGCTGATATTACACAACGGTTCAGTACTCTTTTCTGTCTTTCTCACGATTTCATGCGGTCTTGTAGAGACCAATTCAGTTTCGTCTGGTATCATGGAGTTCTTGACTCAATTCTCCTCTTCGAATAAGTTCAGCAAATCCATGCAGTCATTACATATTCTACACGCAGAAATATACAATGAATGGATTTGGAGATTAGTTGTGTGTAAGAGGAGGGGGATTTTTGGTATTCGAACTGAGTATAGTATAAATAATATGTTTTTATTTATTTGATTTAGGATGAATATTTTGATATTCAGGAGGCCCGCTGGAGTATTGGATAGCGGCTCGGATTGAGGAATCGGAGAGTCGAATTCCAGTCGAATCTATTACATTCATTTACGTGCTAATACCCTTGGGAAAGGTAAGGATTCTCTTTTTCTCCCAGCTATGGGTAAATAGCAGGACAGACCGGGTTCTATAGCCTTGGATGTAAACTGGTCTACCGCAGAAAGAAATGGCAACCTACTGCAGAAAAAAAAACCTGCCTCGTCAGTCATGTATCGAAAGATGCATGATCTGCCTAAGTGTGTATCACACATGGCACATAACTGACGGTCTTTGATATTCGATGTAGTAAAATATTCGGTAGCAGTTTGAGATAATTTCGAATCGGTAGTAGGTAGTCTCGGTTTCAAACCGTGCTAGTGGCAGTAGTCATCTTAGAAATAGGTGAGTGTCAATCTACTATGTTTTTCTCAGTACAAAGAAAGGCAAAAATATAATTACCTCTTAACTACTTCAAGCGGTCGCGTCTTGCCGTACTTTTTCCCATCTAGCTCAGAGCTGTCAGCTTATATACTTTTGACCAGGCTCCGAGACTCTGGTGTGAACCTTGCTTTCGGATAACATCAAAAGTCTCTTGGTGTTCATTTTTTTGGTTGCCCCAAATTATTTTAATTTCCTGCGTTCCTTTCTTTTTTCATTTTCTTTTTATATATAACGGAAGATATCCGTGGAGCCTGTCTTATTTTGGTTGATTTATAGACATAAATATATATATATATATATATATATATACTCTGGTCCCGCAGACTTCCGGCTTTTTTCGGCCTGATTCACTCTTTTCTTCTTCCTTTTTTTATTTTTTTATTTGAGGGTTTCCTTCTAGTTAGTCGGGGGAGAAGCGTATAGAAACAATTTTAGAGAGAGTGAGGTAAGGGTTTAAAAAAAAGTACAAATGTCTTCTTTTAATTTGAATTCTTTCTATTTTTTTATATATATATTATTTTTATATTTTATTTTATTTTTATCGGGGCTCGCTACAAACTGAAGTAAGAATTACTGCATCATACGATTGACTGGGAAGATATATGGTTGATGAAGAGACTAGAAGTCTCGAAACGTGTACCAACATTCACTAAAAAATTAATATAGACAAGAGGAGCCTTGAAAATTTCACGGATGTTCCTGTTACTCACGGGATGGATTAACGACCAGAGAGACAGAGGAAAACAGCTTATAGCAGATGCTTGAGTAAATAGGTGGCGAAACGGGGTTTAGAAATAACGAAAAGGCAGAATTTATTTAGAGCTGCAAGGGAAATAGTGGAGTGTTATGATCGATTGCGTCCTCAGGGGATACGGCACATAAAGAAAGAATGAATCATAATTCTTAATTTAATTATTGAATAAGCTCCTTGCGAATTCGAAGATTATAAAATTCTGGCGGAAATTTCCCTATGGCATCGTTAAATATTTGAGTTTACAACTTTAACAAAATATAGAAAAAAAGTATGAATGCAGGACATTATTTAAAGAAGTAAGATGGTACAAATGAAAAGATTCAAAATAGACAAAGTTTCCATTTCACTGAAGCAGACGTTAAACGCATGCGAGTGTTATCGTCTTCTCTATCTCCCCTTTCTTTCTTTCTCAATTTCTTTCTATCTAATTATTATTATGCACGCCTTTGTTTTCTGAAATATCTGTTTTTCGTCTTTCGGTATCAAAACGGAATGGTGTATTTTTTATCTGAGGTAATGGCCGGGAATAAGCAGAATTGGAAACTAACGTTTGTCTACAAGCCTTTAATTGAATTTTATCTAAAAATCGTTCATTATCCAAGACAAGACGAATGGTATCCAGCTGGTAACGGGAATTCAGCGACTGAACATCTTCCTTCTCAGCTAGATTTATTGGTATCTGCGTAAAATCTTTACAGCCACAAACTATCGAGTTCAATTATTATCAAATTAGTCATGCCGAGCGATAATTTTCCATATCAATGATCACAAAGGGGACCGTTTAGGACTTACTATTGATAGCGGCACTTCTCGTCAATAAATTGATTTTGTAATAACAAATCTTCTCTTTTTCTTTTATGTGACATGTCCCTTCAAGGTGTAAGCGATCATGGCTCTCCACAATTTCCTATCCTTTGTATTTCTAGGTAAATTTTGACCCATTACCGTCCTTCTTTGTTTCCTTTCTGGTTATCCATTTGCGTGTCTTGCTTCGAATATGTGAGTGTTACATTCTCCAGTTGTCCTGGGTATGACGATGAACAACATCCGGCAGCAAGGCCTTTGATCGGGAAGGTCCACCCTGACCTGGGATGGTAGCACTTGTTAGGGTCTCAGCTGTGGGAAAATAGTTAACCCTCAAACTAGTGTCAAAACACTAAAAAGTATAAAAATAGATTTTTATGGTAAAACTATCAGCAATATATTTGAGAAAAAATTTTAAATATTACCAGCCATACATTTAAATACACATATATATATATATATATATATCTGCAGTATTTACATTAGTCGGACTATTGTCCTCATCTTTGTCGCCATATTTGTCACAACGTTTCGGTCGTTGTACGCTCCGGCCTTCTTCAGGTGGTTGGAATTTCGAACTGAACCCTTTATTTCGATCACTGTTTTAGTTCCACGTGCTATGTTTGATGGATGTCAGTTACCTCCTGCTAATTTTCCATCTGAAAGTTCTCCACCGCCTTAGCCAGATATTGAACTCACACTCTTTGGGTCCTGTCACTAGATCTAACCAACGCCTTTATCCACTGTGCCACATTTGGGTATTATAAACCTAATATTTTCAGCAACCATTTTTTACCAGTGTTCATACTGCAATTTTGCTGTTATCATTGCATATATATCTGTGCGTGTGTGTGTGTGTGTGTGTGTGTGCGTGTGTGTGTGTTATCAGCAATACATTTTTTTTTAAATATTACAAGCAATACATTTTTGAAAAAGAAATTAATGTTGGCAAGAAAATTAAATTTCTGCATTAAATGACCCATAAGGAGTCGATATGCCGCATAACAAACCAAAGAATCTCTTCTAAAAATTTTGTCGGCATTAAGTGACCCATTGAGTTTGATATGCCTTAAAACAAAATGAATTCAAACCCATACATTCACCAGGCCATTCTTTCAACTGTCTCTTTTTCATTGTAAGTATAAATGTCTTTGTAGTTCTTATTTTATTTAAAACCTTTTCGCTACCATTATGTCCATGGTATTCTCAGCATTCCTTCGTAGAACCACATCACTGTCTCTTCAAGCTTCCCCTTCATCGATGAGGAGATTTTTCAACATTCACTTTCATATTTTTGTTTACAATACCATTTTCCTATTTCATAATATTTTCTTTTTCGAAAACATCTTTCGCTATCCTTATGTATCTTCGAATTTCCTTGTCACATTTTGCAACATTTTTAGCACACTAGCCAGATGTTTCAATTTCTGTGTCGACCGGATTTTAACGTCCCCATTGTGTAGCACGCACTTGGGATGACCTCTTTTGCTGACAACCATGCAATCTGTCACTTCTCAGTTAATAGTCTCTTCTTCTTGCTGAACTTTGCCATCTTGTCTGACAGTTCTTTCAGCTTTCTTTCTGAGTCTGCTATCCCCAATCAATGTAAAATATCATACCGCATGTGCAAATTATTATATTCGGTGGCAGTCTTTAAGTAATAATGGTTAGACAGACATACGTTTAGGTACAGTATGTATAAAATTGTACATTAAATGAAGTTAATTATATAACTGGGAATTTAAAATATGATGGGATCCATTCTTGAACTTTATGCCTAAATATTGCAGACAATAGTTAACAATTTTCTTATCTACGTCAATAAAATGCC